GAATGATCTATTTTGACCCTGAGATCTACTTCCAAAGTGATGATGGTCGACACAGAATCAATCACATCTTGTTTTGGCATTAAAATTTTTCCCCATGTCCATCACTCCATATTGATCTACATTGAGCTGTACATGCCTTTGAACACTCAGCTTCTTATGGTCTTCCTGCAATTCTTCACACATCCCTGGTCTTTATCACCCTGAACAGTTTGATACAATTTGAAGCACTTGTCACTTCATTACGTGCTCTTCCTATAAAATTATTTGTTGAAAGCACCATATGTTAAAACAAGCACAGACGTGACAGTCTTACAACAGAAGTTAGAGACTAAAGTGTTTGACAAGATTCAAACATATTTGGAAGACTGTGTGGGGCTGTGTGCACATGTATGGTGCATAATTAACAGTAAACAGAGATTTCCATAACCCTGATTACAGTGCACTGATATGATAAAACCTGAACTGAATTACAATTATAAAGGAATCTGCATGCCTTTCCTTTATGCTCATACAGAAAAATAAAATCATCACCGACTTTTAATAAGCTGGTAAAATTTTGACACTTCCTGACTAACTCTAGAACTCATTCAGGCCTAAAAAAACCTGGCTGAAATTAGGAAGATAAATACTTTTTTTAAAAAAATATATAACCCAAGCATCTCATAGATCCATGTATATTAAAAAAGACTATTAAAGTAACCCATAAAAATTTTCAGTAATTGAAATTAAATCAAACTGTCTTTGAAAATGAACTATTGCACCATCTTGATAGGATTTAATTATCCCTCGAAAGTCACTTTGCAGTATTATACAACATAGGCATTGTCTGATTCATGGTGCAGAGAATCCAGCTTGAAAATTGGAAACTAATGGGAATGAAAGAGGTGACAGAAATATCTCTTGCTCAGTATCCTGCAGAGCTTACCGAGGTCACACAGAAGTGCTGAATCTGGTGATGGAAGTACATTTATTTATGCCAAATTGCAGGGCTCAAGCCAAAATTGCATAGCTCAAATAAGTCACCTGAATATATATACATATGTATAAGTATAATGAGATTGCTTCCTTCAAAGTGTGAGCCTGTCTTAGAAACCTGTGACACTGATATACTCAGACATTAAAGATTGATTACACTGCCCTGAACCTGGCGTTTTATGCCAAGCAAAAGTGTAACATTTTAAAGGTGCAAATATTTTGATTTTCATTCAATGTTTTAGATAGAATTATCAAAACTTCTACATTAGATATTATCACACATTATCTCAGTCTTCTTTTATTAATATACTGAGGGCAAAAAAAAAGAAAAAAAATCAAATCGAGGCTTTCCTTTTTTGAGTCAACAATTCTAACATGCACACACAGAATCCTCATAAAATTAAACAACTGTGAACAGGGATGGAAGGAATAGGAATAGTTTATGCTTTTTTATCATTCTAAATTGAGAGAACTGTGGCAAACACCTTGAACCAGAGCTGAACATACTGAGTTTTATGTCCTGGGCTGGGGGAGGTCATAGAAATGTCCAGGATATCCTGATTTCCAATATCCTCATTGTGAAGGGCATATTTATTTGTAAGTGCATACAAAACATCACCTTCAATATCAGTCACTGCTTAATACAGTGTGTCATTTACTTTCTGTCTCTGAAAATGAAATTTCAAGTTTATTTATCAACAAGCAAATTGCATAGGAGGGAGCAGGAGCTCCCTGTATAGCTGGATTGTGAAGATTCATCACAGCCATCAATTTTCCCTACCAGGGGTTTGGTGTTTGCCATGAAATTTTCCTGAAGTAAAAGCCCTGCTGACTGCGAGTGCAGCTACTGAGAAAAGCAGCCTGGAAGAAACCCTCATTGAAATCTATCAAACAAATATATAAATACACAGAAAATTACTTTCATCATTTTAGCATTCACCAAAACCTCTTTCTCAGGGAGAGGCTGAGGGCAGGGTGAGCAGAGGGAAACCATCAGTGGGGGATGGAGGCTTGTGCAACAGCGCTGGGACTGAAAAGGAAGGAGGTTTGAAAGAACAATGAAACCACCTGCTGTAAAGGCTCTGAGTGAAGAAACTGCCTTTTGATACAGTGCCTACTCATGCTCCACAAGGTTACATGCTTCCTACTTATTTGCTTTCCTCCTTCCATGGGTGGATTGGGATTAAAAGTAGGTTGTTTCAAATATTTACTCCTCTAAAATGTCAAACTGCATCAAAATCACATCCATCACAAATGGTGAATCATTTTTCACATCAGACATTCAGGCTTGACTCATTTGCCTGCTGCAGGGATATCATCCTTTATTGCTACAGTTCCTATAATGGGTAACAAGCATTCCGTGATTGAGCATGATTGACTGCAAGCTACATGTGAATCTCTCTTGCAAGCCCAAATTCACTTAACATCCACACCTTTTTCATAGAAGTTCATGTCTATATACAAACATAGGGTGAAAACAATCCTAGAGGAGAAAGCTTGAGCACGCTTGCTCTCTTATTTGAGCCTTGTGTGGCCTGAAGCAGAATGTGCTAATGCATGCCAACGTGCCAGCAGACATTTCAAACATACTCTGGACACTTGGGCCCTACAGTTATGAGCAAGGATGGAAGGTCATTGCATTTAATGTGCTTTTGAGACTGTTGTGATCTTGCAGCTGGAAAAGTGCCTGCAACTATCCATTCTTCTGACAGGGCTGCTTTGGTCTGAAGAGTTTCACAGGCAAAGAAGATGGCTGTGACTCATAGGGCTCAGTGTTTAGGTCAGAGTTTGCTTGGAAGAAATGAATCAGCTGGATGACTTACTCATCAAATGCTTCCTATAATTAATTTCATTAATTCACATTTGTAGGGATTCATAATGAAAACAGTAAGATTGATACAATCGTAGAGTCAATGGAAGTGCGTGTGTTTGTAGGCACCAAAAGAAAGAGCAAAGTGTTAAAAGAATGCCCTTTATGGACAAACAAAGGTGTGTTTAGAGGACACTGTTCCTGTGCTGTGCATGTCAAGGCCACAGCACAGAAGACTGGCAGCAGACGACCATGCACTCTGCCATCAGGAGGATTACATCTCCAGGTTACAGCTCATTACCAATACCATTATTTTTCCTTTTAGCCCAGCCTAAAAATAGGCTATAGACAGAGCCTAAATATTGCAGACCAGGAAAAATGTACTGAGAGCTGCTGAGCAATATAAAAGATCACTGAATAGTAGTGGTTGGAAGGGAACTCTGTCCAATCCCCCTGCTAAGGCAGTTGCACCCAGAACTAGTAACACAGGGCACATCCAGATGAATTGTTAATACCTCCAGAGAAGGAGAATGCACAACTTCTGTGGCAGATCTGGCCATAAAATAGCCTGTCACTTCTGATCAAGAGGAAGCACAGGGACAGGATGAGGACTGTTAGCTGGCATGACCTTTTCCCATACTCAGGTGATGCTCACAAGATCACACGAGCTCACACATCTTGGTGCTTATGAGACATGGGTGTGAGGCTGAGTGAAGGAGATTTATGACAGAGTGACTGTGAGTCGAAAAAAATTCAGCTTATTTAGAGATTGTGCACCTAAATCTCACCTTCCCATTCCCAAAACTCTCACACTGAATTTTCTTATATGGAATACCCTAAACTTTAGGTGATACAAAATAAATCTTTTAAAAAAAGAATGTTCTATGCTTTTGTGACCCTATGCAAAGAGAAGAAAATTACCCTTTTTGTTTTCCCAGAGTACATTTTTGCAGTCCACCTTAAAGATGAAAAGCAATTTTAGTGAAATATTAATGCTGACATCATTAGCTACATCTAGCTACATTAGTAACATCTGGCATTTAGCTACATAAAGAAGCATCTACTTGCACTTTGCAGATGCTTGGGTTTGACACATCTATTAAAACACGTATGAGTAAGTGGTGTTCCACATTACACCTGTATGATTCCAGGACAATTCCATTATGTTACTGACTGCACTACGCTAAAAGTACATGGCTGCTGTGCTCTTGTCCATTGTTTGGAGTGGGTCTGATATGTGTACAGAACCTTAGAAAGCAAATTCTGTATAAAAGTTGAACAAAATGGCATTATCAGCTTGATAGTGTACAATGAAACAGCAATATTCAGTGACTCTATGGAATAAAAGTTACAGTGGTTTAGGTAAAAATCTAGTTAAGGAAAAACAAAGTGAGAAAATGTAACAGTTTAAACATAAAAGTGTTCATTATACTACATTCTGATTTAGTGGACATATTAGTAGACATATTCCTCTACTACAAATACATATTTGCAGTAAAGGAAGTTTTAAAAAATAGGAAGTCTCCTAAGTAGTGTCTGTGGTAGAAAGAAGAAATGGTGCACACGGGACAGTTTTTGAGTTCATAGAGAAATTCACCTAACTTGAAATGTCACACTCTAACTCAGCCACCTTATCAACTCCTTATTATCAATGGAGAGGAACAGGCACCTCCAGAAGGTGAATTGCCCAATCCGTCTCAGACTGACACAATTGAATCTCCAGGTATTTATTCTTGTCACTGCCTAGAGAGGTCTCTTACAGTGACAAATTGAGAAGTAAATGTACAATTTTTACATGGATGAAGTTATAAGGGCTTCCTCTGTCCTTACACAGATCATCCCCCACTAAACACTGTAATACTCCTTCAACTCTTTAATTTGTTTTCCTCTTAATGAAAACATACACCCCAACGCTGATGCATGACCCATCCCCAGTAACAAGGAACTAAATAAAATAAATACTTTTGTAATACTAATTTTTTAAGGTTTTTTTATTGTTTAGTACAACTCTTCCAAGTCCTACAGAAAAAATCCCCTCCACTATTTTTTTCAAGATCTTGCAAAGCAAAATACAAATTAATCTTTAGTTGTGCTAAACACTAGGAAAATATTCTTCTACATTCCCCTGATGCCAGAAAGAAAATACAACTTAAAAGGAAAAAAAAAAAAAAGACTTTATGAAACAAAAAGTATATTAAGAGAATAATGACTTTACCTATTATCACATGCATGCCAAGTCTTGCCAAATGCTTCACAGTTTGGTAACCAATTCCTTTAGTGCCTCCAGTCACTATAGCAACCTTTCCATTTTGTGTAGGGAAAACTATATGAGAAAAAAGAAATAACACAAGGTTAGTTCACAATAGTAGCACAATTAAGAAGTTAAGATGTATTTTAAAGAGTGTACACTTAACAGACCACTCAAGCCAGGCTAGTAAACAATCTCAGGAATAAACTCTGTATGGAAATAAAAACTTTGGAACATTCACCATTATTTACCGCACTATAATTTTCCAGTGTTAACAGTTCACAAAAGACTGAGGCTGACGACACGAAAAGCAAACAACCACTTCAGAAATTTTCTCATTTCTATTTGCATTCATTTCATCATCCTGCAGTCATCTGACCTTTACAATTTCCACCATAATTCTGTTACTGAGCAAGGTGGCGGCACTTACGTCAGCTCACGGGCGGCTTACTCAATGTGTACAGGGGAAAAATTCAATTGGCAGCATGATTCCCTGGAAATTTCTTGAATGACAAAAGACCAGCCTCTGTCAGTAACATGGAGGAAAGATCTCAGTCAAAGGTGAGCTGTCAAAAGTACACCAGCTGACCCAATTTCCCCACATAACTGAGCACTTTCCCTTCTGAAATCACAAGGCCCTGAGCCCCAAAGAAAGGAGGAAGCAATTTTCTTGCATGAAAGCCCCCATCTGCTTTTCCCACCCACATTAGCCCTGTCCCACAGAAGCCAGCATCCCCAACACTCACTGTCAGCCTCCACTCCACGTGCTCCTTGACCCACACACAGCCTGGCAGGCAGGGAATGCTCCCAGACTCCCTCTGCTACAGGGGTGGCCAGGCACATCCTGTGTCTCCTGCCTCCCCAGGAGCCCTTAGCCTGCCGAGTGAGCCAAGAAGCCTCTGGGATGGCCCTTGCAGAGCAGCTGCCATCCCAGCTACGAGCTCTCACACTGGGTGCAGGCTGCACAGCACATCCCCCCACCACGGAGGGAGTCACGCAGCCAAAGCAGAGCAAAGGCATTATCATTCAACTGCTTGGGAAAGGCTTGAATTAGGTCTAATATCAACTACAATTTTTGTTTTGGGGTGGAGAATGTTTCCTGTGAAGCACCATGTAGCCTTTAGGTGACCAAGGTGAATTTCTAATTTGCTTTGGAGTCAATGCCGTGAGGTATTTGCACAGGAAAATAGTATTGAATACTTCTTTTTGCTGTAGTGCAGTGTCTGTAGGCAATGCTATAGATAAAAAATGTTAAAAAGATGACAAGTTTCATGTATCAAAGGACTTTCTATTTTGATTTCCAGGTTTTTAGGGGATTGCTTTGTTGTACAGCACCAACTCATATTTTACATAGTTATGAAACACAGGACTAGCACTGATACATGCTCCTTTCTTCACAGCAACTTCAAAAAGGATCCACATTTCACCTTTTTTGAAATACATAGTTCTTTCCTTCATGATTCAACATGAATTTCTCTTCAGGTAACAACCCAGTTCTTCCCTTCCATGAAGAAGAGAAATTGCTTGCATTTCTTTGAAGGTTAACTCCAATTACAGTGATATGTATGCACATAGGTGTCCTGACATATATAATTCAAGCTAAGTATGACTTCCCCAGAAGCCTTCTTAAGGGGCTTCAATTTAGCTATATGCAGCCCTGCAATTTCCACCAAAAATACTTCTAATCATAAACTCTAAACAAAATGCCTGCAGGTCCAAATCTTGTCAAGAGAAAATGCACTCTTTTGGGCCTGAGTACTAGAGTGTTTGCAGGGAACCCCAATGAGGGGAGAGAAATGATGCATCTGACTTCATCTTATCAGGAGGTTAATTAATTATTATATTATATTATATTATATTATATTATATTATATTACACTATGTTACATTACATCTAAACTGAATCTGAGTGTGCACTGACACTGCACACCCTGCTCTGAATCTCATGACTGCAGTCCCAACATACACACACAGCTGGCCCTGATAGCCCAAGGAAACAAAAACACCATCACTTTGGGTAAACAATCTCCATGCTGCATTCCACATTTGCACAAACACAGGCACAGCAAACAAGATAAGAACTGTGTTTTCTTTCTCTGATGTTCAGAGAATGTGAAACCCAGAAATACTCTTGGGAGAACTGTGCCTTGCTTTTCTCTGTGAGGAGAAATGTGGGGCTACAGAGTACCTTCTCTTCCTCTTCTGCCTCCCCATGCCTCCCCTGCTTCCTGGCCTCTCACCACATTGCTACCTGACATCTGGATTTCACATGTGGCATACGGGTGCTGTCACTCATTTCCATTACTGCACCACCTATTGAATAAGAAGTGACATTTTAATGTGAAATTCACTTAGAAGAAAATTAATGAAAGAAAAGGAGAAAAAGAAGTCAGGACTGGGGAAGGGGCAATGAGGTGAAGTGAAAATGGAAAGTCAGAAGAGGAAAGCAATAACAGGAATAACTGTGATAAAGTGGTTCTTAGCAGAGGACCCGATTTAGCAGATGGAAGATGTCCAGTTCTACCCTGTCTATGGTGACTGCAAAGAAAAGGACAAGTTTTTGGTCCTAATGGCCACTTAAAGACTTCACTGAAAAAATGCATTCTGTGCAATCCTATATCACAGAGAAGTTTAAAACAGACCTGCTTGTAGCAGCTAGCCCCAAGGACCTAAGAAAGCAGACAGGGAGGAAGAAATGAGGGCTGCAGACACACAGATAAGTGGTCATTATCTGTTTTATTTCCAAGAGATACAGCTTCCACATAACATGGTTTTGTATAGACACAACACTGCATGGCACAACTCAGTCTATCCACCCACTTCAGTCAAAATGGGAAATGAAAAGAGAAAAACTGAAGTACATCGGGAAGTGGGACAGGAAGAAAAGAAACTCCTCAATTAATTCTTAACTGTTATTAATTTCAAAAATATGCACAGTTTCCATCAAGTCAGATGTCTTAATATAAAATTAATCTCCATTTAAATGAGATACAGCTAGTATTTATTTCAACAAAAGCAGTCAAGATCAAATATAGGTTCTGTGTGTATCCAGGGGCAACTCCAGTGAAAGGCAGTTTATTAGTGCCCTGTTCCCTCTAGAACTACAACCTCATGTGGAATTTGCAGCACACCCAACTTTCAGTGCTGAAACACCACTTCCATGATGAAACTCCGCATGAAAGCAGACCTGGGCTCAGCCTGGTTTTCAGCAGGTACTGGTTTATTTTGTGTGAGAGGTTGAGCTGAGTGCAGCTGTAGCCTCACAGCCCCCCAGGCAGGAGGCAGTGGGGACCCACCAGCTTTGCAATGCCCAGAGAGGTTCCCTCTGGCACTCCTTGCATCTCCTTTAAACCACCCCAGATCTCTCTCTCCCTCTGCTCCTGGTAAGGAGGTAGATACTGATCTCGAGTTCAGAGGAATAATGCCAGTGATATCTCTGTGGGACATGAGAACAGTACAGCCCTGTGCTAATGAAATCCCCTGACCAAGCAGGAGCTGTTAATTTCCCTTGTGTTCAAAGAAACCAGCCTGCAGTCCTCAGGTGCTCCTTTATCACACCAGTGGCTGAGAGAAGCTTCTCTCAATCTGCAGGTTCTGCCTGCATTCCAATGTATTTGGACGACATAAGCCTGTTTACTTTGCAAGTGGATTACCCTAAAACAGGAAAATAAGCCAGATTTATTATGTCCTGATATGAGGCTATTTAAAAAGCATTATTTTGCTTTTAAATATACTTGTCCTTAATCAGAATTAAATTGGATGTACATAGACATCCTCACACAAATTCAATACTACAAAAAATGTAAGGCAATTCTGTAATTTTAAAAAATACTAATTTTCAAGGGAGTCTAAAACAGGGCTGTCAGGATGCCCCTGCAACTGCCAAAACCACATGGAAATAAGACAGTCTGCAGACCCATATCAATGACCAGTTCCTGCCGGAAAAATCTCAGCTCTGGAGCAGGGATGAGAGTCATTGAAGTAGCCAAATCAAAGCAAAAGCACCAAGATTTCTCTTTTTTTAAAAAAATACACCAAGTGAACACAGACAATGCAAGCCTCAGAAGAAGAGCTTCCCTTGAGAGTAACTTGCTTTGGTATTCTGAAAACTTTACAGCACATGGAGCTTGAGGCCAAGGGAAAAAAGAAGAAAAAAGCATTGGAAGTTTATTTAAAGCAAATTGCATCAAATTTTTACAAAGTTCCATCTCCTAACTTACTAATCCAGCATCTGCCTTGTGGCACATTATGGGTCATGTGGACATTGCAACAGAATTTCTTTCTATTAATTTCCTCATTAACCCTCCTTTTAAGACATGGAAGGCCAAGGGTAGAATTTATATTGTCTAAATCAGTCCCCTGTGTTTATCAGGCAGGATCTGAGCACAGCTGAAGGCATCCAAAATGTTGGTCAGTGTCCACCTGTGAGGTGCTATTCTGGGACCTGCCTGCACCTCCTGAGCTGGCCACACAGTGCAGCAACTTTGGTGCTATTTGTGCTGGAGAGATCCCTACAGACAAATCTCAACAGTTTTTTTGGTTTTTTTTCATTCCTCCTATAACTGAATAATTTACATGCAAATATTAGGCCTGAAGGTAACTGGCAGAAGCACAGATGGAAAAAAAATGAAAAGAACTAACAATGAATATTTAGTTTCATGACTGAATAACAAGATCCAAGTTTGGAGCGATTCCTGTATAGCAACACTGAGTGAGAAAAGAAGGCAAACTGTAATTTCCAGTCCTCATCTAACACCACAGGACAGGGCACAATCAAGTTCTTCTAGATGGATTAAAGAAATCATATAACTCTATGTACCACAGAATTATTGAGTAGTTTTTCCTATTGCAAAATATTCTGACTCTTTTCCTCTGATTTATACTGTGGCAATGTTGAGATTACAGCCATTAAGCAGATGTAGAAAAAGAATTCATTTTCCACTCTGAGAGGCAATCAGTAAACTGCTGGGGAGCCCATGCAGCTTTTAGCAATAGCCTTTTTTGTGTGCCTTGTAGAAACATCTCCATAAAATTCTGGTTTGGCAGAAACCAGGCCAACAGGGTCTGGATTCAAA